CGTCGTCCCCTACACTTGTTTCTGTATAACAGGCAGTTGCCGGACATTCTACAAAGTTTCATCATGAACATTAGTGGTTTGCTCAAGTTCGTGTAATATGGAAGATTTAAAGTTTCTTGAAGAATTTTACATCAGCATACTCAAAAATTTACACATTCTTCCATAACAATCTCACTAAACGGCTTCGACAGTGTTACTGTTAAAAGTTAATATCTGAGGTAAATGTTACTGTTTAGATATATAAAGTCGGGTAGCAGGACGATGTTGCACCGTGTCGACATAAGTTAAGAAAATTAAAGGTTCGACGTAAAAGCTTTGAAATTCTGTATGTTCATTACTAACAGTTACTAAATGTTTCAGAAAATGAAGACGAATTTAAAATTGCATGGATAAATTTAATTTTAAAAAAAATCTTTATGTTCTGCTTCTATACGTATTCAGTCGACATGTAGTAATAACCTTAATACATTTGACAAGGCATGAAAATGCGAAAAATGTTTTTAATGACTTCTCGTATTAAAGGTATTTAGTATAACTGCCTAAGTAGTATCCAAAAAAGCTTTTAATAATATATACATTTAAGTTCAAATGTCTTAAGCACTAAATGTGTTATGTCAGCAAAAGGTTTAGAATTTTTGTTATCGGTACAGTGCAAAAGTATTTAATAAATAAAATGTTCAATAGATGACGCTCCATGCACAATATATTTCAATGTTGAATTATACAATAATTTTCGTTTTGTTTATTTCAATAATTTTTTGTTGATATTTAATTTTTGAAAATCATTGAACACCCTTTTGTTGTATCGTTAGTACTGTGTGTTCTCTTTTGGATATTTGTATTCTACAAAAAATGTTATTGTATTTTATTAAAACGTTTTGTAACTACTAAATAATGTTTTTTTTTCTTTGTACACACTTCTAAGCTTTCACACGTGTTTCCACATTTATGTTGTAATTGACAACACAAATCATATTTAAAATGAAGAACTGAATATCACGGTACAAGATCTGCTGCGTCCATTACGAATACAAATTTGGTTGTGACGGGTAGATTTTAATTTCACTTGACCCAGTAACGTTTATACTTTTCAATGGATTATATCATTTATGCACGAAAATAATAACATACACATCTTACCACATTATTAATATTATATGTAAACATACATAACTGTGTTTAGATACATCCTTCATCTTTTGTTACTTCATATTTACTAAACGTGCTGTAGAAGAATTCTGTCCTTATTTCTTTTTTAACGAGAATATGAACCGTGGGAAAAATCACAGAAACTAAACATATTGATTTACTAAAAATAAAATTTAGCTGTCCAAGTTATGCAACTTTTATGCATTCACATTTCATTTAAATATTACAATAGCTTCTAATTGTGGCAGAAAAATTCATAATGAAGAACAACAATGCGGGAAAATGCCCTTAATTCTCAGATTGTCTCCGAGTCCGATCAAAGTAAAACGTTTCATAATAATAATTTTGGTTTCAAACCTTTAATTTACAGACTTAACATTAGTAACTTCATGCGCGAGTACAAAGTTATTCTTAAATGTATTAAAAATAAAATGTTGAGCTACGGTAAAGAAAAAAATACATTCTCAAGCTTTTGGTAGTTATTTAAATGTTAAGCATTATTATAATCGTATTAAATCCCATTTAGGTGGTAATATATATGTTCAGTTTATTAAATAAAAACCTATAACCCGAGAATTCTGTATGTTATTATATTGTTCTTCAAAATTAAAGTTTGATGAAGTCATGTATATAGCAAGAATATTAAGTAAAATTGCTTGATGGGAAACGCAATTAATTATTAACCAAATTCCTTGTCCTATTAACGGTACAAGTACTGAACTTTGTAGTAAAGCGCCGTTGATCATATAAAAGTGTAGAGATGAGAATAAACATTTCTTGTACGTTTAACACTTTTTTTAGTAATTTTAGGCTGTGTATATCTGTGCATATATTAATTTTATCAAACAAGTTACTTTAATATATGATGCATTTTGTGAACATACATGTTCACATCCTCATATTTTAATTAAATAATTTGTAAGAGGCTTACAAAGGATTGAATTTGACTTGCCGTGGCCGATTAGGCCAACCTCAATACCTCTCTCAGGATTGTCAATGTCCGTTTGGAAAGGACAAAGTTACACAACGAGCCCAAATAATCCATCTGTCTATCTACCTGCTAGTGAATTGGCGTATTACTAAATCTGCAAGATATCATTTATATAAGACTGAAACACAAGTTAATATATGTTATTATTTTGGGAAGGTGGATACTTTTTAACTATAAACACATCGCAAAAACTCCTCCTTAAGCGTCTCTTTTGTCGAATAAACCTAATATTGTGTGATACAATTTAACGAACTGACTAATGAAAATTATGGATTATGCATCAGCTTCGTAGTAATCTGTCACAACCTAAAGCTTTCCATTTTAAAGCAACAGCAGAAGTTCTACAAAATTCCTGATGAGACCTGGAACTCAAGACATCGAGAAATGCTTGGCGAATACAATTTTGGCACTTGATAATAAAAAAAAAGGTTTGCAATCGCTGGATTAGTGAATTAAGTTTAGTAATTAAGCTAAAAAATTGGATTGTAACATGGAGTCAGAAATATTTGAGATTTATTACCATGAACCAATATAAGAGGAAAGAAATCTTAATACATACAATGTGAGCACGTGGTTATTTACTATAAAATTAATCAATACGTATAGTGTACTGGTATCAGAATAGCATGTTCCGGAAGTATGCTGTTCAATTGTCATTCGCCCAAACTTCTTTGTGCACTGTTGGAGCGACTATTAATATGTTGTTCACAACAATTTAACTCTCACTCAAAGTTAATACATTAATCCTAAAATTAGGTTATAAAACATGTGATTAACTATTTAATTATAAAACAATTACCGTCGCAAGGCATAGTTCAATAAACAAAGATTAGAATTAAAGTTTGATATTCTAAAAACAATGAACATAATACAGATTCCCAAGTTATTTTCATAATCGAAAATCTTTAAAAAGTCGTTATTACATTTCTTACAATAAACTAATACTTTTCGTTTCTTACAAAAAACGTAAATTTTCCTGCGGTATGTTTTTATGTCAATATGAAATATCATTATCACAAATTGCAGTGAAACTCAAGATTAGCTTCAACAAATAATCACTTGGCAAAAAAATCCACCCATTTCTACGTTTGTCAATAGGTTACAGTTATAACAACTTTTATTAGTATATGCTTTAAATTGTTTTCCATTGAATCTATTAGTACATTTATCATTCTAAGCCGCATAAATAATACAATATTTCAGCAGAACACAGAGATATTAAATATTATAACAATAACATTAAATTAAGGTTGCTCTTGTAAAACAAATACATCCAGTCCCTCTCTTAAGCCTAAGTACAAATTATGTATTTTTAACGATGGCGGTAGCGCGACATTTTGGGTTATTAAAATTTTTCAGTAGTAGTAGTAGTGGTTGTTTTTTAATTGAGAAGTATTAAGACAATCAATTTTCCCAAGAAACCACAGCGAATTTGTAAATTTACGTCACTTTGTTTACAGCAACAATTTTTTCAATAAAATACAGAACTTATTTTTAATCCTGGAAAGTAAAATATGGACTTTTTTCTCTCCTCTTCAACAAACAACTGGTTAAGTAAAGTATTTATAAGCTACAAATAATTGTCACAAATAATAAAATAGATAAAACTCAATAAAATATTACAATACATAAACTATTTGCTAACTGTTATTACTTAAATACGATAAAATCGTTTCGTCATATTTTTAACATAGTTCTTGCTGATATTATTCAAAAAACGCAACTTTGAAATAGTATAAAAATTTACATTTCAAAATATTAAACGAAGTTCAAAAAAGGTTAACATTGTTCTGAAAGGCTCTCAACATGGGTTAACCAAACACTGAAATAAAACTGTGTTAAATCAAATTCAACAATTAATAAATTATCCAATTCACTGTAAATTACTATATAAACATATATTTTATTCAAGAAACACAATGAAGAAAAATAATAGCATTATAAACACGGCAACCTATCCAAGTTAACGTATTCCTCTGTTAATCCCCATGACAACAAAGGATAAAGACTGAAATATGTATCTAACGATTGTCAGGACAACTGTCAATAGGGAACATTTAAAATAAACAATGACAATAACTTTCTAAATATAAAACAGTTTAACAGGCATATAAAATAACAGCTTATTATTTGGAACACCATTGCACATAAAAACAGACACAAAATTAAAATAGTTTGATATGGCTATTTACCTCTTGGTTGTCAAAGACATATTTCAAATTGAGTTTAAGTATATTAATAATATGGCATATAAAAGGTAACATACAGTGACGTTTGCCGTATATATATAAAAAAAATATCAGTTTTTCATAATATAGTTAGATTATTTCCTTCACCGACTTAATTACGTTCTTTAGTATTTGTTATTCGATTAACTATAGAAAGCACTATGAGCCAACGGATCAAAATAAATCTTGCATTTTCTGGCTGTTACCCACACTTCAAAATTATTATATAAAGCCATTTCATATTATAGACAGCCAAATCTCTAATTAACAAATATCAGCATACGTGCACACTTTTCAAGCAATTAGAATAAAAACAAATAAACTTGGTACTCCTAGTTAGTTTACATTTAAACTTACTTTGATAAAAATGGGTTCAAACCTCGAAATGGTGATATTAAACAGCACTTACTCATAGTCCACTAGAGGGCGTATTTGCAGATGTTAAAAACTCTGACGGTAACCGTGGGGAAAGAAAATGTAAAGAATTGTTTGTTTACAATGATCTGAAGAATCATTATGGTCTAAAGTATTGTATAAAATGATAAAAATGTTTTGTCTCAACAATAAATTTTATACACCTTGTTTAAATATTAATGTCATCCGCACTTAATTTAGTTTCATCAACTTAATTTCTAGCTTCTTATTTGACTTTTTTTTTAATGGACAACATATAATTAATATTTTGTTGTCAAAATATACACCCATTAACACGTTTAAAGGTTTTTTTTTGAAACACCATTTCATAAAATATTTTTGTTCTTTATTTGATAATAGTAAGTGAAAGTATCTTCCTTTGAAGTGGCGCTCAAAATTGAGATTGTTTTATTATAACTTTACGAAAATTAAACTAATCAGTTCATTTTGAACAATAATAAAAATATTTATTTGTGTACACTTAACACTTCAAACTTGTGAAGATCACATTTCCGATCTGACTACTTTTATTTTTCGTTTGTTTCGCTTGGTAATATGTGTAAGAACAAACTAACCAAATAATTTTTCAAAACACACGTGGCAGTAAGGCTTATCGTTCTGTTCCTTAAATGTTCCCTTGTTCAGTTGCTTCAAGCAGAACGAGCATACGAAGTGTTCTGGATGAAACTTACGGAACATTGCCGTAATACAACGACCTGTGATTGGTTTTTGACAACCAGCGCATAGTGATCCACGTTTAGCATGATAGTGTGTCTCACAGTAAGGCAGACCCTCATGGTCGTAAAAACTTCCACCGTTGAATGACTGGCCGCAATCCTAAGAAAGAACAAGAAGTTATTGTTTATTATTTTCTAAACACTCTTACTATTAACTATATGTCTCAACTTCAAAGAACGAGTACATTATTTCAAATTAATCGGTCATACAGGATCAATAATGTAAGCAAAATTGTAATTTAAACTCATTTGATAACTCAAAATTTAACACTCAGATGTTTAAGCACAGCACAAAGCTACACAATGCTGTGCCAACCCCGGGAATTGAAACCCGATTTTTTGCGTTATAAGCCTTTAGGCTTGCCGCTGAGCAAGTTAACTATTCACTCTAATTTTTGTTTCGTGTAATTAAATAAAAGTTCTTAAAGAGTTACGTTGCTAATCTTGAAACACAACTGCAAAATTGTTCAACTTTAATGTTTTCTTTATTAACCTAATTTTAAGTTTCTAAGACTTTAACTAAACTAAAGAACTATCTTAAACTGTTGCTGGATATCACATATCCTAAGTCTTATGTATATATGAATTTTTCTAGATATAAAAATAGTAGTTTTGTCTGGGTTTTTTTTAGCTACAGGTTGCATCTGATAAAATTGTGAACTAACAAAAATATACAACCACAAACTCCAGAGAATATCCAACTGATGACCTAGGTCAGAGTGGTCATAGAAGCTTTTGTAGTTTTCCTGTTACTCATAGTTAAAACTATTTATTATTAATTGTAATTATTATTATATAATCTTAGCAGCTCTTCTGGTAGAAGTTATTACATCATTTATTATCTAGAATAGTTTTTTATTTGATGAAAAGACTAAAAAAACAACCCAAAGAAAGATATTAGCTATTATCAATAATGTAACTTTAGTTTTGCTACAACTTTTGCGTATTATTTGATAAACATCACCCACTTGCATTGAATACTTGAAACTAACCAAGCATCAGCACACTGGTACTAGTTTATCCATAACGTAAGATGTACACAATGGTGTTTAGAACACACACTTCTAAAATAATTGCTATCATATACATCTGTATTTGTTACAATACCAAACATATTCTAGGATAGAGAATAACAACCACAAATATTTAAATTTCCTACTCTGCAAACAAAGCAATCAGGATGCCACTGGCCATTGAGTGCCGAGATATAATTTTCTTTGATTGGCCTGTTACAGCCACCACATTTGGGTGCAAACATATCAAAGAAGTCTTCACGACAGTAAGGTTTTCCATCCTTTTCATGGAAACCCTCTTCCCCAAATTGCCGGCCACACTGGGCACAGAAAAAGTGTTCTTGGTGCCAAGTTTTGTCCAGTGCTGTCACACATTTCTGTATGGAAAAGACGAATATAAGTCATTGCTACAAAATCATAAAACCAGAATATTTTAATGATGGAATAAAACTATTTCTAACTATTTTGAATGATACAGGTCATTTAGTTTAACTGTCCAATATTAAGTAAGACTAACAATATAACTTTATAAAAGCATTATACAAGTTGAAGTTTCATATTCTTTTTAACAAAATATAATTACCATAATGTGTTTAAAAACTTAATTAACTTTTCTCAAAGAAAATCAATAATCGTTCATCTTATCAAATACTATACCTAATTAATTTTGATTATCCTCCATTTGCCTTGTAGACAATTGTTCATATTGGGGAAAAAAATGTTGCTATAAATTCTGTTGAGGATAAAAATGCAATTTATGTAAGCTCTCCAAAATATTTCTTATAAAATTGCTGTGGATGGAGACATCAGGCATTTTTATAGATCATGCAGTGGTAGAGTTAGCTAACTAAGTCTAGAAATGGCACCAAAAATTAAGGTATTTACATTAGTTTTAGAACACACAAAAAAAAGAAGTAAATTAAGTAGCAAGAGTTTTGTGCCAAAGTTTTGAAAACGTTTTTATACATATTAAAAAAACAAATAACAAGCTGCCTGCTTCTAAGCAACAGAAAAAGACGACTTCAATGGCAATCAGTAAAGAAATAAAAATGGTAAGAACATGGGTATCCACAGGAATTTTTCCAGGTTGGACACAGTCAAAATCAAGGGATGATGGACCCACCTTCAAAGCTTTGCCATTACAGTCAAGAGAATAGGCAAGCTCTCACAGTCAGATTGGAGGAGTTTAATATTTGTAAGGTTAGTAACTTGCTGGTAACAGGCCTATTACATATGATATTGTTGTGTTAGCACTTATGATGTTGATACTGCTCTGTGTGTGATACCAGCAGCAGGTTGACCTTGACCACACTGTCTCATGGAATGTCTGCAAGACTGTGTCAGTCTCTTTGATAACCAGCTGCTGGTATTACTGGCAGGTAACAACAGGTTAGTCCTGATCACACTGTGTCAGAGCTCAGGAGGATGTCAGCAAGACTACTTCGGTCTCTTTGATGACCTGAGTGAAAATTGCCATGTACAGTGTCCAAGAAGCTGCTGTGATAGCGATGTTTTCAATATTTAGCTACAGGATAGTTATCAAAAGATGTTAAGTAAAGTTGTTGACAAACACGGCGGTTTTTATTAGAATTGGAAATTAAGTGTGATAAGTAGTGTAAAATTGTGAAGTGAACAAGAAACTTGTAAATTCATATACATATACTGAATAAATAAATAATTATGTTTCTCATTTTCTGGGACACCTATGGGTAAGAAGAATGTTAGAACATGAAATTATCAAAAACCATTTGACAGATCTACTATAACTGATATCACATAATTGTTATCCTATTTTGGAAGTGAATTTGATCGGAAGTTACCACCTAAATAGTATCCTAGTCTGATGTAGAGTAGACTGACTTTTACTGTAAAAGAAGTATCCTAGCTTGATGTGGAGTTGGTAGACTTTAACTCTACAAGTAATAGCCTAGTTTGGTGTGGAACTAACAGACGTTTACTATACAAATATTATCCTAGCTTAGTGTAGAGCTGACTGACTTTTATTATACAAGTAATACCTAGGTTGATGAAGAGTTTATTGACTTTTACCATCCAAGTAGTATCTTAGTATGATGCAGAGCTAATTGGCTAGTATTCTAGTTTGGTGTACAGCTGAAACAATTCACGCGATATCACAGTGAACCAAATTACAATCATAACAGGTAGTTAGCAAATAACTTTCAAAATGTATCAATACCTAATTTATGTTACATGTTAGAAGCCAATTTAGTCAGTCTTGTTAATTGGAAATCTGAGAAATGAATTTTGTTTTGTAATAGCTGAAGAAATGTTTTTTCTCCTGATTGGTGCACTTGCAAAATGAAATATGACAACTGATTATTGCTGAAGTTAAGCCTGTATACGTTTTTTTAACATGATAAAAATAATAACAAAAAATTTGGATATTTCTTATCAGTGTTGCATTTTTTCTTATTTATTTTTGTTCAGAAGTTAAAACTCTCATATTTGAAAGTAAATCAAAAATTAAATGTGGTGGATGTTTTTCATGCAATGACAATAGTTTTATATCAGAAATCAACAAAAATGTAGATAAGCCTGATCTCTGGTGATTTAATGGACATAAATAAACTCCCTAAAAGTAAGTTCACTTTAAGGATCAGATACCGAAATAGGAAATACGCACATCCTGAATAGGACCATTACAATAAGCACAACGAGGTGCGAAAATCTTGTGATAATCCTCCTCACAATATGGTTCACCATCTCGTTCAAAGAAATTCTTGGTGCCCAGCTCCTGTTTACAATGTGTGCAAGTGAAGTGCTCTGGATGCCACGTCTGTCCAAGGGCTGTGATCACCTAGAAAGTGAGGGGTATCAAAAAACATATGAAATCATTACTCTGTAGATTTTATAATTTACTGTAAAGAGCTAACTACAATACGAATATATCAAAATCAATTGGTATTATTAGATTTTTTTCTCCTTATATAAATAAATTCTTATAACATAATTTATTATCAACACAGTTACACAAATTTATTTATTTTTTCAGTATAACTATGACTTGTCCAGGCAACAATAACTATATTAACTACTTTACTTCTGCATGCATATAATTTTATATTTAAATAATGGTTAAGCTTTTTCAGTCACTATGATTCAATTTGCAAACATTTATTAAGATACAAATGCCATTTATCACCTTGGTAGCAATTTTTGAGATATACAGTTTAATGGAAATCACCTTGGTAGCAATTTTTGAGATATACAGTTTAATGGAAATCACCTTGGTAGCAATTTTTGTGATATACAGTTTAGTGGAAATCACCTCGGTAGCAATTTTTGTGATATACAGTTTAGTGGAAATCACCTTGGTAGCAATTTTTGTGATATACAGTTTAGTGGAAATCACCTAGGTAGCAATTTATGTGATATACAGTTTAGTGGAAATCACCTTGGTAGCAATTTTTGTGATATACAGTTTAGTGGAAATCACCTCGGTAGCACTTTTCAGTGATTTAAAATTAATTATTATCGCCCTGGTCGCGGCTCACTACTGAGATATAATACTGGCAGCAGCTTGTGGTGCATAAGGCATGTGGTTGAGATGCTATTACATTCTTCTTACTGGAACCCATATATGGCAAGTAAACAAAGATTTGTTAAAAAATATTATAAGTTTATTACGATGTAGTGTCACACAAAACACCACTCTAAAGATCATGTTTCACTGGTATAAGGCATTGTATCCAGTAATATGTTTTTATAAAATCAAAATATTCCAATTCAATGCCAGTATTTGGAATGGGTTTACTGGCTCATATAGCTAATTACTACTTTAATTGACTCACCTGACCAATAATCTGTTTCTTACAGGCAACACACTGACCCTTAGCAGTTGTATTAATCCCTTGACTATTCATGTCTGTCTGTAAACTACCAAGCATAGAGTCCAGCTGGTCATTATGAGAATAGGCTGGTTGTGCCTTTGGCTGAGATTGGAGCTGTTGTTTCGTTGGCTTGTGAGGTTCAGCATAAGCTAAGTTACTACTAGCAGGAATTGGAGGATTGGTGTCATTCACCTATGAAGGACAAAAGGAAATGTTCACAAAGACGGTCTTTACTTCAGCCAATGTTTCAATTCAAGAGATGTATGACTTTAAAATAGCCAATCTCACAAAACAGCCTATCCTAACTGAGCTCTTATAAAAACAAGAAAGACATCTACGTAATTTCTAATTACACAAACAGCACAACAGGTAGAAGTGGTCACTACAGAAGCTGTTGAAAAACAAATTCTTTAGTTTATATCTCAAGATATTTGTCACTACGATCATCACACTAAACAATCACCATGATGGGCTGTCAGTTGTGATTGACTCACCTTCGCTTACATATATACAGAGCTCAGACCCAAAGGAAGGCTGGTATATGGGTTCAAATAAATTCAGGGTAGATATAAAAACCTCTAAATATTGTAGTGTGGCTTTAGACATCAATAACGTGCTGTAGACTTATGGTAATGTGTGTGTGTGTATATATACATATATTTATAGTTTTAAAAATTAACAGAACTTATGTTCTTGTAAATCAATCAAGACAGTTATGTGAAGCATAATCCCCTTAAAGCTTCAATGGCTTTAAACTTTCTGAAAACATTCTGATTTATTCACATAAAACTTAATTACAAATTTCTTTGTTTGAAGTCTATTTGCGTAACATTGATAATGGCTTCCCCCTCCTCAACATGGTCACCTTTACATATAGGTGTAAGTCGCTGATATGATAGGCATAAAAAATTATACACATATTATCAACTGGATTTCTGTTAACATAGTAAAACTTGAAAGAAATGCATAATACTTTGAGTCCATACAACTAGAAGAAGTCACAATTACATTTCTATGGTTTCAAGATCTCTGTTCATCATCACGATGTACAAGTTATCAAGTCTAAATGACTGCACTGAGAAGTAAATAAAAATCCTATTTGTGTCACGGCACCGGTGGGGCAAAGGTCTGAAATGTGATGGCACTGAACACGCTCCATACTTTAGCTGTGGTCATGTTATAAAAGTGGAAGTGAATTCTGTTACTTGGTTTAAAGAAAAGAACAAAGTCTTTGTGATGGCAGGTTCTCTGAAGTTGAAAATTAGGGCAAACGATACCTAAATCATAGGGGTTTCTAACCTGTCCAGTTAGCCCACTTACACCTAAGGTATGGTTCAGGTTGAAAATTTTGTTCTAACTGACAACAAAGTCCACAAGACGTTTGAATTCATTGTTTTTCCTCCAGCACATTTCTTGTGATTGCATAATTCTCCTTCCTTTTCTTAACAAGATTTTTTTTTTCCTTCTGTAAAAGTCTCTCGTATTCAGCATATTCTCCTATAAGAACATACATGTCAACATGACCAGATGCTAATACACAAAAAAACACTATCATGCCTACAGTGCACATGTAAAACAATCTGAAATATTAATGCACAAAAACCCATGCCTAGTGTAGTGTAGGTGCATGTGTAAGTATACAAGAGTAAGTTTAATATGAAAGTTGTGTAATATACATATATATATTGAAGAAAAATTGGTAACAGAAATATGTTAGGATACACAAGCATCATATATTGTTCTATTTTATAACAAAATCTTGTGTATATGTCAGTATTTATTTGTGATGAATTAGTGATACATGAACTGGAAGCAGTGTTTACAAGGCTGGGCACCACTAATCCTGTAAATAGCTTTACTACAACCATCTACAGAATAAATAATTGTGTTGTCTTATAAACACTGTTACAGTTAACAAAAAAAAGGGAAAGTCTGACAACACAAATGATCTTCTATGATAGCTTCTTCATACAGGAAGTATCCAGGTTACTAGGAGTAAAGAGATGAACCACCTTCTAGAAGCATGTTACTGGAAATAAAGAGATTTATTACATTCTGAAAACATGTTACTGGAAGTAAAGAGATTTATTACATTCTGAAAACATGTTACTGGAAGTAAAGAGATTTATTACATTCTGAAAACATGTTACTGGAAGTAAAGAGATTTATTACATTCTGAAAACATGTTACTGGAAGTAAAGAGATTCACAATTTTCTGTAAGCATATTATGGGAGAAAAAAAGGAGGTTTGTCATATTCTATAAGTATTAAAAGCTGAAGAGAAGATCCAGCTTTGAAAGCCTTGTGAAGATGAACTACACCTAGAATACACTTGGTATCCCAGGAAAGAAATGCAGGGCCACTTTTCCAAAAGTTTTGTTTTGGGCTTTCTCAATACAAGTTATTGCTTTGAGTAACCTTTTAGGCTATAGAAACGTGGATTTGGTGATAAAATGTTATTTCAACCATCCTACCCTTCCTACTAACCTTGAAATCTGAAAGGGAAGACATCAGATCATCCAATTCTTTGGTGGCAGAAGATGCTCCTGGTGTGGAAGCAGGTGGGGGAGAGTGCAAAGGCTCTTCTTTAGTGTAGGTCACTGTGGTAACATACTCCCGCTTGACTGATGGGGTCACACTTGGGCTTGTAGGTCTGTAAGTTCAAAGATACGGGGAATTGGCATTAATTTGTTATATAAATCAAAAACTCACTAGTTTTAAATTAACAAACAGTGGTAATTAGAGCAGATTACTAAGATAACTTGATCACAAATGGTTGGCTGTGTTCATGTAAGCTCATGAGGTTTAAGGTACATGAGCATATAATAACACTTAAAGGCATGTTTAGTTACTACACTGTAAATGAAGTGTTATCAATGTTTAGTATAAAGCTGCAAATAAGGCTTGAAAGTGTGTTGGTAGTCAAATTATAAATGTGGGGAAAATATAATTTCTTCTCTTTTTTTTCTTCTTCATCTTAGTCACATTCCCAGTTGTGAAGGGACAGTATTTCAAGGACATGTGCTTTATTATTCTATACACTTAAAGCCTTAGATAACAACATGCTGTTTGTTTGTTAAATTAATGATAGGCTTAGAAATATAGCAATCTTCGTAAGCTAGCAGATTTGTTAACCAGCAGCTGGAACTAAACAGCACTGATATCCATTTTTTTCAAGAACTTGGGCACATTCCAGATTTTGTTTCTCACTGTTCTTGTCCAAAACTGTTGATTGTCAATAAAATGTAAATACACTTAGTTTATATTTTTTTTATCGTGGAGAAGACATTTTCAGATTCTAAAAATAAAAAATATAACAGTTAAATTAAAAACTAGAAATGAAAATAACTAAATCACGTGGTTTTGGTCTAAATTTTCACAAACATTTTTTTTGGGGGTGGGGGTCTTAACTGTGTGGGGAGGGGGCTATAAACTCTTAACTTTGCCCTTTTTTAAGTTTACTGCCAAGCATGGGCATTACTAGCTATTAAAAAGAAGCAGCTACTACTCAAAATAATTAAAACAGAATTTCAATCTAACATATTATAATTTATGTAAAATAAATCTGAGCATGGCACCCAGCAAATCCCCTGCTGCCAGTGCCCTTTTTGTTAACATCTGAAAATGGTGTCAACCATGCTATATCCTGAGAAACGAATAAACTGTAATAAAAAGTTGTAGTTTGTTTTTTACAACTTCAATTCATAGTCTGTTTTCTTGCAAATCTGTTCCATAATATTTATTTTATTTCGTACACCATGCTTCTGTAATCTAAAACACAAGGATAGTAATTAAAGTTAGTGTACTGTACGAGCTTCCGTAATGTAAAACATGAAGGCAACAATTAAAGTTGATGTAACATATGTAATGTAAAACACAGGAGTAACAATTAAAGTTGGTGTAACGAAGAGCTTCTGCAATACAAAACACAAGGGTAAGAATTAAAGTTAGTGTACAGCACGTGCTTCCGCAATGTAAAGCATAAGGGCAACAATTAAAGTTGGTGTACTGTAATGTAAAACACTGTACGTGCTTCTGTAATGTAGAACATAATGATGATAAATAAATTTGGTGTAATGTAGAACACAAGGATAACAATTAAAGTTGGTGTACCATCAAACATTGGTTATAAGATCAACATATTTACTCATTTAACTTTGGGGACACTACGCTTTGCAGATCATCCAACAAACTTTCCACAGACGGTCTGTCCTCTGGGACAGGCTTGGTGACTGGACGAATTGACCCATACCTAGGATTTGAAGCATCCCCGGGCGTCGGTGAAGCACTGGAAACTCCATTCACTGTTGACACTAAAAACAACAACAAAGATAGATGATGAGACGTTTTACAAAAGGTTATTAGGCTAAGGATAATAGTGATAGCACTGTACAAAGGCTGCAGATAATATTAACAGCGCCACATAAAAATTCTCTCATTTGTCGACATTTATAAATAAAATCACTTCGAATCACCTATATTTTGCACAACAAGAAAATGCATAATCAATATGTTAATATTAATTTCTAACTGATGTACACAAATATATTTCTTTTTTTTGTTAAGCATGAAGTTGCACAATCTATCTGTGCTGTGTCCTCCTCAGGTATCGAACCTTCAACTTAAGCATAATAAACTCTCTAGCGTACAACTGAGTCATCAGTGGTGTATGTAGATTTATTGTTAAGAACAAAGCTGCACAAAGGGTTACCTGTGCTGTACCAACCGCAGGGATCAACCCCTAAATTTAGCATTACCGCTAGGCAACCAGAGGACAAACAGTAATAGAACAGAATCTACTGCATTCCACTCATTATAACATTTTGAAATTGTGAATTCCTAGTCAGATTGCTATTTTATATTAGCTACATTATTCACTGGGTTGATCTTTAGCTCGGTTTTAATTACGTAGCTTGCGTTGAGCAAAAGTTATTGATAACTGCAGGTGTGGAATAAAAGATGTCAATAGTGTTGCCATGAATAGTTCTTCAGGAATACGGAAATCTACTTATTTTAGCAATTTAACGCTAAATTTAAATTAAACTAACCACATAAAGATACTTTTTTTTTTCGGAAATAAGCATTATGCACCCAATTATGCTCCAATTCTAGTCAGTTTTGTTTAGCTGGATGCAGAGACAGTTTTCTTTTTTACTTCAAATATAAATAAACTTCTAAACTAAGTAAGCGAAAACATCGTTGTTCGACTTTCCATATTAGGTAATAAGCTGTAAAAATAAAAATTGAATAGGAAACTCCAGAACATACTTTTTTTTTTTTCGTTTCTATTTTTTAGGAACTGCTTTAAAATGAAACTATTGTTTAATAGTTCTGAAATTAACCCTATCACAATAATTTGATAGCTGTAAACGTTTTCAATATTGAAAAGCAAAGTGGTTTACATACACTAAATTTTAGTTCTACTTCGTAATAAACTGGGTTTTCTATAGTAAATTATCTACATTCTGAAACGAACCTCAAATAATATAAAAACGAATAAAGTAATAGTTAGTTGTTGGCTTTATAATGACATACAAAATATTCCCAACGGCTAAACTTTGCAAGCTAAAGGTCACTGTCAGTAAATACGTATTTATTGAAAACAAATATTTTAAACAAGTTGTTAAGTTCTTTCACCATCCACATAAAGGCCAATTGAAATTCTGGTACGTTTATAACTTTGAATAACCTTAAGATTAAATAAAGTAAATGTTTTAAACTATTCTTCGGGTAATTAATATTTTATGTTTGGAAAAGAAGGAACCTTATGGAAACAAAAAAATTTCTATGTTATAAATGTTTCGGTCTACATAGATATATACAAACAATTTTGTAGGACGATTGTTTCGGATATTCGAACAAAGTGTAGTTAACTTGTTTGTATAACATTTTCAATGCTTATTGATTTTCCAATATTTCGCCAGCTTTTGGCGTTGAAACCGTCCCTAATTTAGAACTGATAGACTAGAGAGAAGGTAGCTAGACCATGGATTCTCATACTGTGGTACGTGGAGTTAATGTCGGTGGTGCACGACAAAATTAATATAAAAAATCACAAAATGTGTAATAAGCCCTATCTGAGCTTTCCACGTACACATACATACTATTCTCCTCACTTATAGACTCACCCTCTTTCTGCATAGACTCATCATTATTTTCTTCCCTTAAAATTTACAAAAATGGTACCAGATATTCTTCAATTGTGGCAGAAAAAACAAACGCATCATTCGCATTAATGGGTAAATGTTACAAATATGAATTTCTGTTACCAGGTATTTTGTCTTTTTTTTTAAATTAGGCCTAGGTTTATAATTTTAAAATATTAAACAAAAAGTGTTACGCGAGCCTAAAACGTTTGAAAACCATTGAACAAGACGATAGCACCAACCACTAACTCCTGGGCTACTCTAATCGAATATTGGGATATTAACATCAGTCTTATAACACACCCACAGACCAGCACGCTAATCACTTGATAATGAACGGCCCTACAGCCAATGTTAGAACTTGAATGACAACTTGCCAATTCGCGACCAAACCTTTTTCTTGTTCCGAAAACACGAAAAATTGGGAAATTTGATGATATATCTAAAATTGTATATTTGATTAATATTTAGTGTATACTAGCTAATGTACCTGTTCAACACACGGAGAAAACATAACAACCGAACACCGACACACTATGTTCCTTAACGGAGGTCCTGAGGGTACATGTCAGGTGACAATCAATCCAACGGTTTCCAGTTATAAGCGCACACGCGCGCTCGCACACTTTCGTCAAATAATGATTTAGTTTGTATCAAAGAAAGACCCTAGAAACCACATACCATTAAGTTCAGCGTGAAAACAATCTTATAATAGTAAGCCAACATAATCACTGGGAATAAAAATAGCAGGCGTACCAGGCACATCCCTACAGTGAACAAGTGGTTCTTGAATGGATGTGGAAATATTAATGTAATGAAAAACGCAGAAAACTACGTGCACTAGAGTGTAGCTAATGTTTTTAAAGTTTGGTCGTCTGTTTTGTAATTCATCTGATATATATATATATATGTACCTTTGTAGTCTGGAGAAGAGGAGCTTAGGCGAGCTGAGTTAAGGTCTTCAAGAAGAGAGTCCAACTCCGACAGATGATCAGCAGTTGGATGTCGAGATGATGATGTTGCCGTGGGAACTTCTTTTCTCACCTGCTGATTCTGATAAATCGGCTGAGAAGAAGAAGAAGAAGACATCACAGTCGATGTAAACAGATTATTCCTCACCATCTTAGCTCTTGGTTAACAAAAGACAAATTAAAGGGTTTCTAAATACACAAAATATAAGCAAACTGGACACAGACGTAATTTATTTATATACGCGTCAAACAAAACGTAAACTCATCAACTGTTAGAAATCATGTAAATGGCCTGTTTAGTTTTATATCAAGCCGTTTTATATAACCGCAACGAACAACAAATTTGAGGTTCTGACACGTAACTCTTTCTCTTCTATGAACTATTTAGACTACTAGGTCGCCGCACCTTGGTCTACTGCAGTAACGCCAGATAACCTTATTTTACCCTATCCTTTTTATTGGTCAACCAGCTGTAGAAAGTGTGTCTGTGGTTAAAACATCTATAAGGAGATTGATGCCTTTGCTGAAAGTATAATTAAGAAACTGGTTCATCTTATCTTGAAATTTGGCGCCAAAGAAATTTAGTTATCATAAAATAACAGCTAAAGTTCTACACAAGCGTTCACAGTATAACAAAGTAATATATAGTCACTTTAACATTTTTCCTAATTTTCTGACTTTCATGGAAGGGAGTTGTGATACTCATGAATGGTTACGAGTTAATAGAGTTATAAAGAAAAACTATAATTTATCACAGGGCGCAGAGCGAGCAAATTATCTTAAATAATAAATTACTTTGATTTAAAATACAGAGCACAGCGTCGTGAATTTTTCTTTTCGAGATATAGTCACCCTGAGACATATAAGCCTCATGTGTAATTAGCGTTAATCTTCAGTTTCATTTTTACCCTAATTATCTAAATCTTTCAAGAAACACAACCAACTTTTGTAGAACCTTATGACTCATGCTTGCTGTATAAAGCGAATACAGACCTTCCATCCGAAAAAGGTCAGAAGTTTATAAGCGAAACTGAATATTTCCTTGATTAACTGGCTACAAACGTTGGGTCAACATATGCTTCTCCACAACATGAATGAAGTTCACATCCGAAACCTTATGTGAATGTTTCAAACTATCTACATACTTCTTGCCATACAGAAAATATTCAAATTACATGATATAATAGAACATATGGTGCCTAGTAATCGGATACTTGAGACAATGTGTTGTCTTTATATTTAAAGACCAATACAGTAATTATATTACGTTTAGACACAGCATAATTTTAGTATAATAACAATCCAGAACTCATCACACAAACACTTTCATAATGTTTGTTTATAATTATGTACAAAGCTACACAAGGGCTATCTGTGCTCTGCCCACCACGGGTATCGAAACCCGGTTTCTAGCGGTTTCTAGACATACCGCTGTGCCATTGGGGGGCTTTCATAATGAAAAGGTGGAATATCTTTAATGTAACGAATTTCTTATTATATATTTATTTTAATATCAACGTTGTTTAGATAAAGTTCATATTTAAAAACATGCATAGCTTGTAGTGTTAGATATGTATTACGAAACTCCCGCCTATTCTTCAAAGTTGTAGAAGATTCTCGAAAGTAAGAATCAATAATATATGTATGTACGTAAACGCTTAAATTTGTATTGTTACGTAATCTGAATTTATAGAAACCACCACACGCCTATAAATATAACCAACG